TACAGCCCCAGCCCCTCCAGTTTTATATATTCAGTTTTTAAAGTGATACTACTTACAGCCCACCAACTTAGAAATAATTATTTTCCTTTAAAGATACGGGGGATTAAATGCAGGACCCAGATACTCACGCATGCTAAACAGTTATGCCATCACTCAGCTACATCTCTTTTTAGTTACTCAGGCCTTTTTAATTTTTTAAAAAATTGAGACAGTTTAGCCTGGGCTAAATTCCTAGGCTAGCCTTCATCTCAGAGTCCTCCTGCCTCATCCTCTCACTGTACCCTGAATAGCTGGGTTTATAGGCATGTGCCACCGCATCCAACTTTACTAACGTTTTCATAAATGCCTCAGGACTGGGGCAGCTTGTGGTGCCCCACGCAGAACCAACACACTTGGTGCTTTGCCCCTTCTTACCAGAGCCAGCTGGCTGCAGGGGCTGGGAAGTGTAGTTACCGGCACCCAGACAGTCAAGCTGATCCTTGCTGCTGGGAGATGGGGGCCTTCTGCAGGCAGAGAGAGGCGGTGAGCCAGAAGTCAGTGTTTCTTCCTCAGAGACGTCCCAGATGCTTTGCCGTGCTGCTTTCTTAATAGACATATTACTCTTTTAATTCTGTTTTATAAGCACTTTTCTTAAAAACAGAAACAAAAACATAGCATGGACATATTTTCAGATCACATGAATCCACAGCCTTTTACATTTGTACACTTTTTCTTTGTCCACTCTTTTCCTGGTAGCTGTGCTGTGTAATGACTTCACAATGTCAGTGACCTTCACAGCGCACTGTACTTTTCTTGCTTGCCATTCTGTCAGCTGCCCAGTACAGCTCTGCTTCAGGCTGTAGGTTAGGCCAGGACTCTGTCCTGTTTCTCCTTCTCAGAGGATCAGGAGAGGAGGCTGTGTTCTCCTTGTGCTGAGTGGCAGACACACAAGGGCGGGCTGACCCTGAGCTCTTTTAGGCCTTGTGCATCTCAATTTACTGACATTCTTTGGCCCAACCAAGTCCTGCAGTCACGAATGAAGTGGGGCGGGAGGTATTGCAAAAGTGCATGCAGGCTGGGCCAGAAGATTCTGAACACTGGCTTTTCTAGGGGGAAGATAACGACCTGGAGTTGTTGACTTCTGTGGTATAAATGTTCCCACCATGGCCATTTTCAGGATGTCGGCGTTGGCTCCCACAGTTCTTAAGCTTGTAGCAGTTGACTCTGTGAGCCATTGTGGGCCAGTGCCTGCTGGCTTCATCACTAGGTGGCAAGAGGGTGTGTGGCATGTGATCCTGTGGTGGAGAGAAACTGAGATGGCCTTCCAAGCTGAGCCTTTAGGTGAGTTTTTTCTACCAAACTTTATTGTAATCAACGTTGTCACATATATTTATTAGCAATTATTAGGACAGAAAATGAAAAAGCGGTTCCCAAGTCAAAGAGTGCTTATGACTTCTTGAGGCACTTAAGACTTGTAAAATTACAGTAAAGAATAGTAGTAATTCTACCAGTAGTCATTGCCAAAGGAGTTGTATTTGTATGCATACTTTACTTGTCAGTGTGATAAATTAGAACATCTTGTTCAATTGGAAATGTGATAAAGGGGCATTTCTTTCTTTGTTTTGTGAATTACATATTATTTTAGTATGTCTAAAGATTTGTGAATTCTTTATGTGAAAGCACAGAGTCTGGTCCGAGTCAGGAGAATAAGCAGGGAACTGCTTACTGGGAATTTAGGAACTGCTTTTTCATCGTCTTTCCTAAGATGATAATTGCTAATAGGTAAATATATATGACAGTGTCAGTTACAGTAAAGTTGGGTGGAAAAACACCCAAAAGTTCAGCTTGGAAAACAGTCTCAGTTGCTCCTCCACCATGGGATCACACGCCACACACCACTCTTGCCACCTGGTGGCAAAACCAGCAGGCGCTGGTCCAGAGTGGCTCACAGAGCCAACTGCTGCAGCTGTTTTAACTGTTTCCTAAGAGAGAACATAGAGGCATGGTGCCCTTTATAACAGAACGGAAGAGTACACGATGGTTCTTCACTGTGTCTCTTAGCTGTCCAGCTGCCCTTAGAGGCAGTCATTAGCATTTGCCCCATAGTATTCTGAGGACAGAATGTGCCATGTGTACTCCCGTGTGTGTGGGAGTGTTGTGTTTCTGTTTTAACACAAATAACAGCATAGTTTTAGCCACAGTAGATTGTATCTTCTGTTTTCAGTAACCATACAGGTTTTTGTCCTGGATTGATAAAAAAGTACAGACCCCTCCCTTATCAGTTTCTGAGTACTCCCTATTTAAGTTACCATATCCAATGGACTAGTGTATTGCTGTGTATTAAGGTGAAACAGTCAGGATTTTTATTCAGTACTTATTTTAAATTTAAAAACTTTATTATACTTTTTCAACACCCACAAAGAACAAACAATGTAAGTATCAGTATACCTAACACCCAGCTTCAGCAGCTATTAATAGCCTACCGTTTTAAATCTATTTCCTCTCATCTCTTTTATTTCTTGGGCTGCAGTTAAACCTAAACATTTTATTTTATCTATAAAACATGTCAGATACAGACTTTTAAAGTATCTTAATCACAATAAGATTAGAACAACAAAATTAAAAATTCTTTTCAATTGTCTAATACCAACTTTGTGTTTGTGTTCAGTTTTCCCAGATTGACAGATTTCTTTTTCTTT